AAGGGCTACACTGCGGGTGTGTTACAGTCTGGCCATTCCATGCTTTCCCAACCAGACTGGCAAAAACATGACGGCTAATGCAAGACCTGTTCAAGCCATAACACTGAGTCACCAGCAACCCAGTTAAAGACTTCACAGCCTGTAATAATCCTTCAGGTTTTTACTCATGCTCTTACTGCACAGGATAGTAAACAAGAACATTTCCATAAAAAAACATGTATGTATGACAAATCAGTCCAGATATATTTATCTTAATGGTATTGTTTGTTTTTGCAATAGTTTGTCAAATCTTTTTTGAAAGTTTTGTTTTGGAAGATGTGTCCCAGCATTCCTTAAAAAAGCTCACCTGCTTCCTCTGGCTCCTCGGTGTCCAGACTGTGTTGCTTCCTGCGAAAAGCGACTCTCCTGAAGCCGTCCATTCTTTTACAAGCCGTTGGCCCCTCCAGCATTGAGATGCTAAAGTGAAACGCATTCAAAGTGACCGGAAATAACTAGAAACGCGGTACCCTCCTTACGGCATTCTCTGTAGCGCGACCTGCTGCGCGGCGGCAGCCCATGTGCGCCTGCGCGGGTCAATGAGTAACACCAAATGAACAGCTGTACACATGTTTCGTTTGACTCGACATGTTTAACTTTTCTCTGAGCAAAGTCACCTTGATGAGGGTGTTCTCCAAAGCCCCGCGCCTAGCCCCCCTCAGTGCGTACTGGCGGTGCGTTCCTCCTTATTATTTCACCCAGACAATGTCCGTACTGTTGCCCCCCACCACACACACACACACACACACAAGATATGCCCATTATGGATTGATACAAATATAAATTAGTTTGTTTCATCATGCTGATAATCTTGTGTCTGTAGCCTACAGTAGATGGGTTCTGGGTGGTTTTAATGACCCGCCGTATAGAGACACAATAACATAGCTATAAAACAAAATACTACAACATAACATATTCATATCATTGTATTGTGAGATGATTGAACAACTATTTATATTGCACCTTTTAAAACCAAGTTATCAAGTGGTTTACAAGAAACCAAAACATAAGGTATGAAATAGTTTAAATATTTTAGATATGAAGCATATGAGGATTAAAAACCCCACCCCAACTATCCATTTCCCCAATTTACATATTGTACGGTATTTCTCTACTGTATGGTAATGTATATCTACACTTTATCATTTTTAGTCTTAGACTTCTATTTATGTTATTTTTTCTCCTTATGATCCACTTAAATCATTCACTACATCATATAAAACAGAAAGATTCATTCTGAAAGATTAAACCACCTTTGGACATTTCAAGTTTCAGATCTTTGTATGTTGCACCCCCTGGTGGTCAATTTAACACATTGTCCAAAGTGAACTGTAATGGAAGTTGAACCTGTAATATGTTGTAGGCTGCATCAGTGCAGGAAACATCCCGGATATGTTGACATATTTAGGGCAGGCCAAACCTTCTGAAATCTATATGCAGATGTATTCTCCGGACAAATGACTGAAGGTCTTTGAGGGAACTTTCTGATAAGGTTACAACAGAGAGCATTCTTCATTTCTTACATGTGTGTGATATTTGCTAGGAGGGATAATAAGATGGACACGGATGCTGTTTTTCTAAAGGAGTTTTTTATGAGCCCTTTCACCCTCCCACAATAAATAATATGAGTGACTTCACACAGATTCCCTGGTACCCACTGAGCCTTTAGGTCACGTGCCCTCTAGGACCAATCTGTAATCAACCATCAGAAATCAGAGCTGCTACGTGAAGAGCAATATAGTTGCTCTTTTTCTTCTAATTAAAAGTAAGGGATATGTGCTTGACGTGTTAAAACGTGGTCTCTGCTCACATATATATATGTGTGTGTGTATACAAACTACTATTAAACTACATATTAACAAATATGAGATTTTTAAATAAAAACAACGTCTCTGTTGCTATCGGGTGTTCGCACGTACGTCAGTAAATGTCATGGAAACGACGCAACTGAAGCTATAAACATTCAGCGGACCTCAGATTCTCACTTTGCATCTGAATTTGGAGACGAGCTGACCTCTTGCAAGAGCTTTCTGTGGAAGACAACTCTTGGAGTTATAATCTACTGGAAAAGGGATTTTGTTGGCAAACGAAACTACTGATTCATCGACTACTTGTGGAGAACCGAAGAACCTGAAGGCGACCCTCAGTGGACCACAGGTTAACGAGAAACACCTGCTGTAGGGCGTCGCCCACTCGGTAAGATAATCACCGAGCAGGTAAGATCACTTTTACATTTATTTTATCGTTTTATTTACGGTAAGTGTGTTAATTCCTAGTCTTAAAAGCTTTATCAGTGTAGAAATCAGTGTCGAAGCAGCAGCAGCAGGTCTCCCAGCCTTCAGGAGGAGCAATAAATACAAAGAGGTAAAAAAATAACAAGATTTCTGTGTCTCTGATTTACTCTAATTAAGTTTTATGAGCATGCCACAGCTGGATGGGTAGACCAAACTACAAGGAGGAGCAGAGACTCGGCGGAGCGCGGAGCGGAGACTCGGCGGAGCGCGGAGCGGAGTCCCGGCGGAGCGCGGAGCGGAGACTCGGCGGAGCGCGGAGCTGAGACTCGGCGGAGCGCGGAGCGGAGACTCGGCGGAGCTGAGACTCTGTGCTGAGTCTCGGCGGAGCGCGGAGCTGAGTCTCGGCGGAGCGCGGAGCTGAGTCTCGGCGGAGCGCGGAGCTGAGTCTCGGCGGAGCGCGGAGCGGAGTCTCGGCGGAGCACGAAGCGGAGTCCCGGCGGAGCGGAGTGTGAACACTGCTAACTGACGTATAAACTATTTAAAAACACATGTATAAAGTGTATAATGCTCATCTATTTTGATGTTGAAATGTTTACATTATTGTATCTTTATGATGTGAAATGCTGAATGTACTTGTTAATTGTCTAACATATTGTTACATGTTGTGTTGAACTGTATGACATTGTGAATGAAATTCCTTTTAACTTTAAGTTGCTGTTGTTTGTTTCATTATGGTCCATCCACCTGTAGTTTCATTTTGTTACAGCAGTTAGAATTAGAACAAAAGTTTAAAAATAACTTCATTACAACCTGCTAACATAAATAACTACACTATTACATTTGATTTCAGAGCTATCACTGCTAACTACATGTTTTAAAACAACTGACTCCAGATGTGATACATTATAAAAGGGAAGCAAGTGTTGTTTACTGGTGGTACATTGCAAATATTATTTAATCTTGATAATTTTAAATGAACCAAACAAAATCCTGAAGAAAACACAAACTGACCCCTTCACCCCTTAATATACTTCATTAATTAGAAGATTATAATAACTTAACATATTTAGACATATTCACCCCAATAACAATTGACCAATGTCTTCAGGCTAAAACAATTACAAACCTAAATTACTTTAATAATCTCTGAATATCACTTTAACATTTTAAAGGTGCACTTGACATCAACTCATATTTGTGGGATGATCATTTTCAAAACATTTTAAATACAGGAATCAAACATGTATTGTAATATTTCCATGGATTCATTGATTCAACTCTGATCTGACCTGGAAAGCATCTTTGGGATGCTGTAAAATACATGTGATGTGCTTTATATTCATGTTTGTGGCGATGTAAACTAATATCTGGGGAAAAGTGATACTTTAAAACATAGATATTTTGTCCTTTTGCACGTTTAGGAAATACAACTTAGTAGTTTTTAATTGTCTGGCTCCAAACACTAAGAGCCCTAAAGCTCTCTCATTCACTGTAATGTTATTTAGTTATTCCACATCTGAAAGTCTGTGACACATTCCCCTGCACCTCAGACAACAGTATGTTGGTTAATACATCTTCTCATAAAGACATCTAACCAACATGTTTCAGCACAACGGCTTACTGGCACTACAGGCTATTAGTTGGAGATAATAAGTCACATGTAAGATATTCCATTAAAAGTGTGACATTGTGTCACTTAACTTACTGAAGTCCAGGGGTGGAAGAAGAATCCAGATCTAATACAGTGCTACTATATTTATTATAATAATATATTCTAACCTACTATTTCCCTTATATTGTTATCAACAATCTAAATTTGCAAAGTAACTATAACTAAAGCTTTGAAATTTATGTAATCAAAAAAAATACAATATTTGCTTCTGAGATGTAGTGGAGGAGAAGTAGAAAGTAGCAAAAAAATGGAAATACTCAAGTAAAGTACAAGTATCTCAAAATTGTACTGATGTACAGTACTTCAGTAAAAGCAATTAGTTAGATTCCACCACTGCAAAAGTAAACATCCGCTCTTATTTATTCAAGGGGTTTATCAGCAGTTGATACATGATCTAGAATATATATCGCTGTATGTTAGATATTCAGTGAAGCAGATCATGATGGGAAAGCTCCTACTGTAAGCTAAAAATGTGGCTTTATTATAGTTATTTGGATAATAGTTGAGACCGAGAAGTATTTATTACGACTGGACGTAAAGCACATCAACTGTTGTGTGATTATTATTTTTGTTTTGGTTGTGATTATGTCAATATAACTGATAATTACACCTAATAGTTTGGGCATTCAAGATACAACCAAAGGGGGAAGTGAGCCATTTAATAATTAATAAGAAAAGAGCCAACTTGACGATGACTTATTAAGTGTACAATACACTCAGTACCAAAACACACTGATGATCTTCTTACTATCAGACACAATAAGCTGATGTCTCCAGTTACCTCATCCTCTGTCTGCAACAGATTGCTTTATATCTCTGTACTGACTCAAATCCCGGTCCCTTGTGCTTTAAAATAATAGTTTCTCTCGTACTGTAAAAAGTACTCTGGTTAGGGTGAGGCAGAAAACAAACTATGAGGATCAATGTCTAATCTCTGCTGCATTTTTTTTTTAAAACATTTGAACCTATTGTGTGCTGTCTATGTATATGCTTGTATACAGAGAGTTATTTTCTGTGTAGTTTGTTGATGAGATAGAGAAAAGGACACAAACACAAAGTCACATACAAATCCAAGGACAGGTCTTTTATTTACTCGTGTAACCAATTTAACACCATTTTAAATGGAGGAGAAACTGTTAAGCCCTCTGTAGTACAGCTATTGTTCTTTTTAAACCACTTTTTTCTTCTTTCACTGGATTAGTCTCTCTCCATCCACTGCTATATTGTGCAAGCAAACCAAGAGAGAGTTAGGTCACCAATGAGCCTGCGTGGGTTCATAAGCTACTTTTGAACCAAACATTTGCATTACTCTGTAGTTGCAAAAGTAACACAGTTAACAAAGACAAATCCAACAAGTGTACACACAGAGAACAGAAAGAAAGAGCCCACTCATTCATTGTCGATGTAACAGAAAGGCTTTTATCTGTCGTTCCAACACCATACTGGCTCTGTAGTTTCAGTTTATCCGTTTCATATCCATCTGGCAAAAATATGTATTCAGTGCAGTGAGGAGAACATGAACATTAAAGACATTAATACGAGGGTATAAAGACTGAGAAATGGGACTTCAATTATGCAACAAACTTCACGCGTGACACCCATCTCAGTCAGACTTAGCCCCATTCCTCTATGATTGAAACACTGTTTCAAAAAGAAACAATCTCGTTTGTGTCCACATTTTGGGGAGACACTCTTGCTGTCTAATGTTTCTTGTGAGCCTGCTGGTTAGTTCATGGCCGCAGAAATGGTTGAAAGATTGAGTAAATCTTAATCAGATCAATCTACGACCGGAACTAATGTATTGCTATAATGCATAGTGCATAATTGTGCTTGGACTGACCTGCATACTGTTTGAAGGAAGCATGGAGGGACAGCTGAGCATGGAGAAGTTAAGATGGCAGACAAGTGTAGCTTGGGATGTTGAAAACGTCATTTCTCTCACTCTCAACAGGAGGAGCCAGGGGTGATAATAGCAGATTCCTGGGGTTGTGGCCAATGCAGTGAAAAAGCAAACACTTTATGGGAAGAATACAGTGTTAACATGACAGTGACGCTAACTCTAGAAGAGGCACACCTTTGGGGAACCCTCTGCTCTTAACTAATGTTAAAAAGATGGAGGTCAGTTCACTCACTTAAACCTGTGCAATTCAAAAGGAAAAAAACCCAGGCCAGCAGATCTCAAACACTCAGTCTCTCGTCTATCTCGGTCTCGGAAGAGATCTGATCTACGTAACAGACACAACCATGTCACTAGAGTCTGATGTAAAAGTAAATACAAATAATAGGAGGTATAAAATAGTCTTTTCTGTATGCTCATGTTTTGCCCCAAAAAAATATCTCAGTATAAAAAGAAACAACCTAAGAAAGACTGGTGATGTAAGAAAGGTAGTTGAAATCCACCAATCATCACAACAACAAACAGAATTCATGCAATAAAATGTTTACCTTCATTAGTCTGTTTGCAACATCAAACCGAACTCCTACTGTTTGTAAATGTTTTGATAATTATACTGACAATATCTAACATTTGAAGTGACGTATAGTTTGGTTCGGCAAGTTTTGAACCGGTTCACTAGACCAGAAAGAACTTTTACAGTTCTGGTTGTGGTTTGCGTTGGTTTTCCTTTGTCCAGGAGTACCGGCCACGTTCAGTGGGGAATGTGTTCAATTGTCTGTGATCACAGAAGTCCTCTCCACAGCAGTGAAACACGTATTGATTTCCATATTGAAGAATGACTAACAGAAAGAAGAAAAAAACCATTCCAGTAATAAATATCCCAGAAACTTGTCACAAATCAAAATGTAAATAAATAATCAACAGAGCGAATAAATTACAAATAAATACAAATACAAATAGGGGAAAATATTCCCGTGATTTGTCGCTTCAGTTCAGTCCTTTCCAGGACATGATGTCACATCCAGAGAAGAAGAGAGTGTCTTGCTCTTCTTCTGCGACCCATGTAACCAGGAGGCCTCCTGCTGATGGCGGGACCATGTCGTGCTAAGGAGGGGGGGGGGTAACAGAGTCCAGTTAGCACCAGGTGGGACCGCTAGGTTGGGGGGAGTTTTAGTGAGGGAACCCCCATCCAGAGTGTCTCTGTCTCTGCATGACTCCTTCCAGACCGAGGCCAGAGTCTGGCCTGGAGCAGCGAGGTTAGGTGCCGGGGGGATGCGGTTGCTGGGCCCGACAGTTACGAAGGTCGCAGGGGGAGAGAAGGCTACTGCTACTGGACAGGACTGTACTGTGTTCCTGGAGGTCTGCCAAAAATTTAGCACTGTAAGAATGCGGAGAGACAAGAGAGGAGAATTAATAAGATTGAGTGAAAAAGACTCCCGACCGACAGAGGAACAGTTGTTGGAAGAATGAGGTTACACAAAATCAACAAACAAAAATGTGACATGTGACGAGGGCAAAAAGGCTTTTTGACAAAAATAAAGACAGACAACTTGTTGCCCAGTCTGTAGGTTAACTCAAACACTGGTGCACATCCAAAGTTAACCTTGAACTTTGAAACAACATGCTTATTTGAATATCATTATTTTTATTTTTTAAATTGGGGAAGTATAATTGTCATTAAATATATCCAGTTCAAGCACGTATAGAATACTACCATGCAAAACTTAACATGCAAATAAGAAGCTAATGTAAAGTGTAAAAACTGAGAGCATTCAGGACCATTTCTCTCACACAGATACGGGTGTGCAACCAACAGAAGATGTGTGCATTGAATAGAATGTGAACGGCGTGCTCATGATGGCGTGTAGCGGACGGATGGACAAATAGGTAGATGTCAATGAGCCTACTACTAGCAGGTTGTACAGCTTGTTACCTGCGGGCTAGGGAGGCTCTTAGTTGTGGGGAGAGTGACGGTACTGAGGCAGCAGGCTGCTGACAATCTACAAGAAACTGATAAATTAGACAGATATACAGAGAGGTGACACTCCGGGTTAGACAATGGGACAGAGAAAACAGAGGACAAGACAGGTGAAGATCTTGTCAGAGACTACTACTGGTTTGCTGCTATACTGTACGATAACATGTTTACATAATGTAGGAGATAATCATCCTCATTTCGTTTCTCTTGGATAAGAAATGTGATTCTCCTGCTGTGGAAATCAGTGTTTCACTATGTCAATGATAGACTGCCTGTCAACTACGGTATATGCCTGCATAGTGTGAAGGTAACTAAACCAGTCTCATCTGATCACATTGACAGGACCAGTCTCTCCACCACTAGACTTACACACACACACACACACACACACACACACACACACACACACACTTAAAGAATCCAATATTATATTGATTTGTACAGCACAAAGAGAGAAGGACACACACAGTGGATATACTGCTGAACAATCCAGTCCGGCTTAACACCTGCTGCTCAATTGTATTCATGAACTCCACCAGTCATGCTCGTCTGTTCCACTTAAAAGTAGTTTGTTTATGTGGCATCGTGTTCTCCTAAAATGTTGTTTATGCTGTTTCGCTTATGCTATATTCTGTATGATTATCTGAGTTAGGACAAATGAGAGAGAGAGAGAGAGAGAGAGAGAGAGAGAGAGAGAGAGAGAGAGGTCAAACAGCATTTGACAAGAAAGAGAATGGAAATGTTTTAAAACACTGCTATCTGGTGGAGAAAACTGGGAATACTGTGAGAGAGGTTTATGGAGAAATGGATCTAGTTTATCCCCCTCTGCTTTTCTTTTTGGATACTACGCATGGGCCAGGTGATTAGGTGAACTAAGGGACAGTCACATAGGAGGTTGAGGCACAGAGAGGAGGTCTGACTTGTTTCCATATTACTCTGGACAACATATCAATAACCAAGTAACACACTTTAAGCCTGTCAAATGCTTTTTGACCGAACGTTAGATGCGACAAAATAGGCATGCAAGAATGAACTGGAGGAAATATAATTTACAACATATAATAGTTTTATGGAATAGAGTAGTTAAATAACACTTAAATAAAAATGTAACAAATAATCATTATAACATGTATTAACGGAGTCTGCCACAGGGAGGCGCTGTATGCTGAAGCTGCAGCCATTTTTTGCTTGGTTTTCACTTTGAAACACTTTCCAGTGCTCTAAGAGATGGATACTTATGGTAGCAGCTATTCAGGCGCAGAGAAAGACGCCTGATGTCACATTCATAAGGTGGTCATTAGAAAAGTATATGCAGTCCAACCTTAACAATAAGAACAAAGCTGCTGAGTGCTGTTTTGAGGATGGAGCAAGCTGTCAGGGCCTCCTTCTTCCTGAGTGTTGCTGTATGTTCAAACCACAGACATGGGAAACCAGTTTTCCTCCCCTCTGTGTCCCACATAATCCAATGGCTTCTGTGAACTGTGTACATAGTGGATATCGGTGCTGGGTGTGGGGGTGTTGATGCGGTCATCGCCTTCGTCGAAAGTAAGGAGACACTGAGCCAGGGCTACCGCCGCTGTGGGATGGGGACGGTCGACCTATGTCTTGTCTCGAATAAATGAGTCGTCTGAACTCTAAGGTTAGCCGCTCAGGGTCTGCCATGATGGGCCGGGGGCCGAGAGGCAAATGAGGGAAACTGACGTTCGGTCGAAGAGTTAAAGCTGAGGTCTGGATTGTTTCAGAAAGTGTGTCTGAAGTCCACGCGGACATGGACGGACAGACGGTTAGTTCTACAGAGGGAGGACTAGTGAGGGTCAGGGAGGTGTGGGTGGTGATAATGGAGGGGCTGTGGAGCCTGGTGGGACTGGAGGGAGCCGTGAAGGCACCTCTGCCACTTACTTTGGGCGGGCTGCTTCTAATCCTGGGCACTTTAGCACCGCGGCCACGGTGAACCTGCTCGTCGTCAAACTCCAGATCCTCCAGCCGTTGGGTCAAGGCCAGTTTCTGCTGGATGGCCATACGGAGGAGGGAGTTCAACGTCTTTTTCTCGTCCTCTGCTGCCGCCAGCTGCCTCTGCATCTCATCCAGCTGAGTAACGTACTCATCACATCTACACAGAGAGAGAGAGAGAGAGAGAGAGAGAGAGAGAGAGAGAGAGAGAGA